ATCCCTCCCTCCAGGAGCGGAGGAGGCATGGCCAACTTGGGCATGTCTCAACAGGTTAAGAACAGGCACAGGAAGGTGCAGGACACTAATGCAGAAGTGGGGCCTTGTCCCAGACGGACAAACTGCATGTGACTGTGGGCAGGAGCAGACTATGAGACATCTCCTTGTCTGCCCCCTCCTGCCCGAACCCTGCTCGAAGGAGGACCTGGAAGCCCTGACCCCCAGTGGAAGGGCATGTGCGGAGTACTGGAGGGGAAGAGTGTAGCAGTGAATGGTGACCCGAGAAGAAGAAGAAGACCGTACCTTTATGTTAACGGTTTTCAATGTCACTTCTGTATCGTGAACTTTTCATTACAGTTAACAGATAACTCCTGGACTTTCTTTTTCCTGCACCTGTCACCACCGTGAATATATAGTTCCGTGTTCATTTTTCTCAGACCGTGAAATTTTGCTACCGTTAGAGGTAGTTACAATCTCGCCATTAGTAGTATTTACAATAGATACCTGCAATACACAACATAAGATTGAGATAAGTGTCAAGTAAAGCTTGTCCTTGTATCTTCGTAAAAAAAACATTCATGGGAGATAATTGCCTAGTGCCATTTTTGTAAATAAATCTGTCGAGATTTAAAGAGCTTGTGCTTGTATAATTGTGCAATATGATTTATTCAGAATCTTTTTTTAAATATTTGTTTGGGGAGGGAGATGGAGTGGCTTTTCTAGTCTGTTTTTTTCGTAATTTTCCAACAAAATCCTTACATTTTGTGTCCTGGAGACCTGGTATTACACTCAAATCATATGAAATTTAGCATAAGTATGCTTTATGTATCGACCGATAACAAGTCATTATAATTTGTGACATACTCTCTCTTACACTTGTCTAATTTGAGAATTTTTAACCCTTTTTAGGTCACAATTTATAATGTATTTGGTATATGACTATCAATCTGGTACGCACAGCAAGAACCAATAGGCATGCAGCTTTCCTCCATAATGCAAAATCAACAGTTTGCATTATGCAAATAAAAATACTAATCAATAATGTGGGGATAGCTCTCTAACTGTTGTATTCATAGACATATGTCACTCCTTACTATAGTCATATCGATGTAAAACATAGTTTTCGCTTGTATTAACCTTCTTTTCCTGTCATGAATGGGGTGAGGCCATGCTAAATTTGCTCCAAAGCCAATGTCGGCCTGTATAGTTTACATTATTTCATAGGAGCGAGCAAGGTTAGTGTCACTTTTAGGACTAATCTATATTTAGGTGGGTATCAGTTCCTTCTTTGTACTTCTATAAGTCATAACTTACTTCAGAAAAAAACACGTTCCTTGAAGTGTGAAACAGTCTTGAACTTCCAAACGAAAATTGTCGGGTATTTCACGCATCTCTGCTTATGTTACTTATTTTAACCTTTATTTTTTGCAGCTTTCAGAATATGCCGGAAATACAGTAAAACTGAAACTTACCAATATCAGCCTTGTTAGAAAGCAACCAACTCCACAGTGGCTTCATCGAAATGGTTCTATCAACTTCGATAGGGTCACAATGGGTAAACACCTGGTCATTAGTGAGGTGAATCCTAAACGAGTGTTTTACGTAGGGGATACTCTCTCCGTCAAGATTGTGGCCAAGGATGCAGAGGACCGACCGAAGCTTTACGGAGGAGATTTTCTTCGGGCCAAGCTGTTCAGCAGAGTCCCTGTAAATGCTAGCACAACTGGAAGGATCACAGACTACCGGAATGGGACTTATGTCGCAAGGTTCTTTCTCAGTTGGCCAGGAAATCTCTCAGTTTCAGTCCAAATGATACATTCAAGTGAAGCTGTGCAGGTTCTTAAAAAGATTCGAGACAATACCAGGCGGATTATGGTGTGCAGCTTTTCTGATGAAGGCAGGAATATGACTGAGTGGATGCCTTGCTCTAACACTGCCAATAGAAGCATGAATCTACGTGACGTGTGTGACTTTTCTAAGCCATTTATTAATGCAACGTTTTACTGCCAACGTCCACAACTGAGTCGCTGTGATAGTATCACGGATTGCCACCGGGGCGAGAAGGAAACGTTGGCGCTGCAAAATCATTTGGCCAACCTAGAAGAACGGAAACTGTTTTCAAGGTAATGCTAATTAAGCTATAACAATGAAGGTCACAACACCAATGTCAAGTCAACGTTTTCAACATCACTAGAACACTGTTTAACCCTGCCTAGACCGGGGGGGGGGCTCGTCACTGAATGACATCCAGTAAATTTCTAGCGGAGACCAATCAGAGGGCTGCTGAATAATTTGAATAATTTATCAAGGCCCACGGACGCGGTTCTTTCACTTGTAAAGTAGCCAATTACCACCGAGCCGGTGGCACACGATGGGCGAGAACATGTATTTCACACCCATTGTACGTCGACATAAAGCGCTTATACATTACAAACAGAATTTTCGTAGGACTGCCATTACTTTAGTTTGCAGCATGTGTATTGAGAACGAGTATCTTCATAATTCTGCTGGCTGTTTGTAGAAGAACGGCGAAATAAAACAGTTTTCAATACCAACACGACTTAGCAGATAACACGTAATGAAGCCCACTTTTTTACGCAGATTGTAGCACTACGTAATGTTACACAAACTAACAGTAGATGTTTTAAGGAATTCACAGAAATGACAATGATAGATAATGTAACGCATATACATTATACAGCACAAAATAAAGAGTAACAGTAATGTAGTCGTCTTTGGCCGGGTATGGCAAGTTATAGTACGTACATGTATCGGTTCAATCTTTAACGGGTAAGTTGACAGCAACAAGCAAGTTGCATAGGTTTTATTTCTTTTGTAGCTCACTTGCGTCTAATTTTGGGACGAACCCATGTTACTTTTTCGCCGCAGTTTTTCATGTAGTGGTTACTTCGACAGCCTTTCCGCTGACGCAAACATACTAGTTTGAGGTTCCACAGTTCTTACAACGTTAGCGCTTGAAGTGCTGTTTTCCAAGTTTGTTGGTCTGGTGATGTTGTCTTTGTTGGCTTGTTGTCTGTCATTTCCCTCCATTTTTATGTTTGGCGGCCCGTCTTCGATGGGTTGGGTTTGGTTCACAAATCTCAGCTTCGCTAAGATCCGTTCCTTCCCGTACGTAGTGGTCGCTCGCTCCATTAGCGCTAGTGCAGCCACATTTGAATGTGTAAAACTTAATGTCTACAGTCCCGTTTTTATTCGTTCATCAAAGTAGATTTTACTAAGGTATGACTTTACTAAGTGATTGTGGAAGTACTAGTACTTAGTACTGATGTAAACAAGAAACAATATACGCGCTCTGGTTGAGTTCATGGCATTTACATGAAACAAGGTGCTAATAGCCGCTAGTCGGTGACGCGTCAGCAGCCCTATGATTGGTCCCCGCTAGAAATCAACTGGATGTCATATAGTGTACACGCGGGGGGGGGGGCTAAAAGTGCCCGCGGCAACTTTGATGTCACCTAGCGTCCGAACGGCTAGCCGTAGAACGGCCAAACTTGTTGACTTTTCCTAGAATATTGTTGGCAACAATTCTCTATCATTGGAATAAGATAATGATTTTTTGTGTTGCCATGGCAACGGGTTTCTGACAGGCATTTTTTGCTAAATTTAGTAATTTTTGTTTTAACAATAGAATTTTATGGGTTTTATGTCAAGTTACTCATGGTTTCTAATATTAATAACATCCCATATAATTCCATGTAAATTTTATCATTAAATATGCATAATTTATGCTAATTTGACGATGTAATTGGCCAATATCCAAGATGGCGGACCATATCATTAGAACAGGTATATACAGGTTATTTCCATTAAAATTTCATCAATACTTCCTTTTCTTTTTCCAAAAAGGTTTAAATGAATGTCTTTAGTATGTTTACAATGTATTTTAGGCTTTATCATGAAAAAAATATATTTTTGAAAATTCAAGATTAATTATCAAAGATGGCGGCTATCTTGAATATGCATGACGTCATTTTATGACGTCACCGGTGTTGCTATGGGCAACATAAGACTTAGTACACCATAATATTCTGTCATAAACACTTTTGGTACAGTTATGTTGAATACCATTTAGTTTTCAGGGAAAATCCTATTTAGACGGTTTTGGCCAATAAAATCACATTAATGACGTCATAATGACGTCATATTACATCATAACGACATAAAAATTGTAGATATGATAAATTGTCACTAGTACACCATTCTCTTAAAATTTGGTGGTTATAAAATTTGGTGGTTATACGACATACCGTTCGCGAGTTCTTAGGGGGGGCGGTCAAAAAACTGCCACTTCTTATGTAGACCTGGCTTTTTTGGGATTCGTGGGATAGGGGCTTATCCGCCCTCCTCAGAACTTCTGAACGGTATATTTTCAAAGGAAGGTGTGCTAGTGAAAAGTAGCCCTGCTAACAATGTTGATGTCATTATGACGAAATACCACGTATACAAGATAGTTTTAATGAAAAAGTGTTTGTTATAGAATTTTACTAAGTCTTATGTTGCCCATAGTAACACCGATGACGTCATAAAATGACCATGCGTATTAAAACCATACGCCATCTTAGATCATTCATAATGAAATTTTAAAAATATTTCTAGAGATAAAGCCTGAAATACATTTGAAGTAGACAAAAACCTTACTATAAACCATTTTGTAAAATGAAATCGAATTAATGATAAAATTTAAAGAAAAATTACATGTATATTGTTGTTGGCATCCTTTCGTCTCTTGAGACGATGGAATATGCCCCGTGGTTCAGGATGTCTTCATGTATCGTCTGTTGTGGCTGTAGAGGCCGATCCTGGAGCGGCATACTTTGCCGCAGTTGACACAGGTGAAATCGTCTAGTTGTGTGCAGGTTTGTGCTGGTCTCTGTCGTCTACGCTGTCTTCTCTCCTCCCACTGTTCTTCTCTTCTCACTGGTTTTGACGCCTGTCTTCACGGCTTGCCTCCATCTGCTGCGGTCGGCTGCCACTGTCTCCTAGCTTGTTTGGTCGATCCCTCCTGCCTTCATGTCACGCTTGAGGACGTATTTGTAGCGGAGGACGGGCCTCCCCGCAGGTCTGGCACCGGTTGCTAGTTCTCCGTACAGCACGTCCTTCGGTATTCGGCCATCGTCCATTCGGCTAACATGACCGAGCCATCTCAGACGCCTCTGGCTGAGCAAGGCGTACATGCTGGTCATTCCGGCCTGTGTCAGGACGTCCTTGTTCGGGACACGATCCTGCCAACTGATGCCCAGGATTCTTCTGAGGCAGCGCATGTGGAAGGCGTTGAGTCGACGTTCTTGGTGGGAGTACAGTGTCCAGGCTTCGCTGCCATACAAGAGCGTGCTGAGTATGCAAGCCTTGTATACCACTAGCTTGGTGTTGGTGGTCAGCATTGCGTTGTCCCAAACGCGTTTCCCAAGGCGAGCCATTACTGTTGCTGCTTTGCCGATGCGTTTGTTTAACTCTGCCTCCAGGGACAGGTTGCTGGAGATGGTGGAACCCAGATAGGTGAACGTGCCTACCACCTCGAGGATGTGGTCATCGATGGAGATTCTATGAATGCTGCAAACATCCTGGACCATGACTTGGGTCTTCTTGATGCTGACGGTGAGGGCGAACTCGTTACACGCATGAGAGAAGCGGTCCATGAGTCGCTGCAAGGCTGGCTCTGTGTGCGCAGTCAAGGCGGCGTCATCGGCGAACAGCATCTCTCTAATCAGGACCTTGCGGACCTTAGTTTTTGCTCGGAGACGTGCGAGGTTGAAGAGCCTTCCGTCACTTCTGGTGTGCAGGTACACTCCGTCTTCTGACCGATGAAAAGCAAAGGTCAGCAGGAGGGAGAAAAAGATGCCGAAGAGTGTCGGAGCTAGTACGCATCCTTGTTTCACGCCGTTATTGATTGGGAAGGGATCCGAGGATGAACCATCGTACTGGACGGTGCCATACATGTCTTCGTGGAAAGACAAGATCATCCTCAGGAGCTTGGGGGGACAACCAATCCTTTGTAGCAGGGTGAACATGCCTTGTCTACTGACCAATTCGAATGCTTTCGTCAAGTCAATAAAGGCCACGTACAGCGGGCGCCTCTGTTCTCGGCACTTTTCCTGCAGCTGCCGTAATGAGAAGACCATGTCAATGGTTGATCTTTTGGCTCTGAAGCCGCATTGTGCCTCGGGGTAGACTCGCTCTGCAAGTTTCTGCAACCGGTTGAGTACTACTCGGGCGAAGGCTTTCCCAACAATACTGAGAAGTGATATTCGTCGGTAGTTATTGCAATCGCTGCGGTCTCCTTTGTTCTTGTAGAGCGTAATGATGCTAGCGTTGCGCATGTCTTGCGGGGCAGCTCCTTCCTCACTACATTGGAGTAGGAGCTCGTGCAGGTGGTGGTGTAGGGCAGTGTTCTTGCCTGCTTTGACGACCTCTGGGGGAATCCCATCACTACCAGGAGCTTTCCCGCTGGCCAGGGAGTTAATGGCCTTTCTGAGTTCGTCGATGGTGGGCGGGGTGTCTAGCTCATCCATAAGTGATAGGGTGTCTGTGTTCTCAATGGCCGCTGCGCTGACGACGTTCTCTCTTGAATAGAGCTCTTTATAGTGTTCGGCCCATCTCTCCATCTGCTTTCCTCTGTCTGTGATGATGTCGCCAGTGGCTGTTTTCAGAGGTGCAGTCTTAGTGATGCTGGGACCGAACGCTTTCTTCATGCCGTCGTACATTGCACGAATGTTTCCACAGTCAGCAGAGAGCTGGATGCCTTCACAAAGGTTTAGCCAGTAGTCGTTGGCACTGCGCCGAGCTGTCCGCTGAGCGTCGTTCCTAGCCTTCCTAAGGGCAGCAAGAGTCTTCTCTGAAGGCTTCCTCTTGTGGTCAAGTAGTGCTTTTCTTTTAGCTGTGATTACCGGTTCGAGTTTTGCAATTCCAGCTTAAAACCAGTCTGGGTTGTGCCTCTCTCTCTTTCCGAAGGTGCCCATGGCAGAGGTATAGATGGCGTCGCGAATGTAGTTCCATCTCTCTACAGGGCTGCTTGTAGGGCAGTCACGGAGGGCTTCTTCTACGGAGTCGTCGAAGCGCTTACACAGATCTGGCAGTACTGTCCTAGCTGTGTTGATACGTGGGCGTCCTTTCTGCTTGGAGCGGTAGATCCGTCTGGGCTGAAGTCGCACCTTGCTACCAACCAGCGAGTGGTCGGTGTCGCAATCAGCGCTGTGATAGCTTCGAGGTGAGAGGACGCTATTCAGTGAGAGTCTTCTAGTAATGATAAGGTCCAGCTGGTGCCAGCGGCGTGATCTGGGATGGCACCAGGATACCCTGTGTCGAGGTTTGGTAGCGAAGAATGTGTTAGTCACACAGAGGTCGTGGTAGGAACATATCTCGAGAAGTCTCTGGCCATTTTTGTTGAGTTTGCCAATGCCAAAGTGGCCGATGCTGCGAGGCCAGGATTCTTGGTCGGCTCCGACTCGAGCATTGAAGTCCCCAAGCAGGTAAAGTTGCTCTGTGGCTGGGATCCCACTGATGGTTGTCTCGAGCTCCTCGTAGAACTCATCCTTGGTCTCAGTCGCAGAGCTCAGTGTAGGAACATAGATGCTCAGGATGTTGACTGGACTGGAAGATGTGGAGAGGCGAAGGAAGAGGATTCGGGATGTTCCCTCTGGCGACGGTTCCACTGAGGACAGTAGAGAGTTTCTTACTGCGTATTCTACACCATGCATGCGGGGTTCCTCTGGTTCGTTCCCTTGCCAGAAGAAGGTGTAGTCCTCTTCTCTGAGGCTACCGTTTGATGGAAGTCTGGTCTCCTGTAGAGCAGCAATGTCAATGTTGAGCCTCATCAGCTCGCGGTTGATGATTGCTGTCTTCCTGGAGTCATCGATCTGATAATCAAAGAGGCCAGGACACATTGTCCTGACATTCCAGGTTGCCAGGCGCAAGACGGATGATTTTTTTACAATACTTTGTCTGTTGGGTACTGAGTTTTCGTCTGCTTTTCGTGTTGGACACTGAGCTCCAGGCTCCCTCTGAAGCGGCAGACGTTGGCGGACCGACACCTTTTTGACCGGGGGCTGCCCGGCTTGAGGCGGGCGGTAGTCGGACAATGGGACTACGATGGTCCCTCCCACCGTCAAAGTTGTCCCGTGGCACCCTTCCTGTACGCCAATTTGGAAGGGCTTATAACCCGTAAACTGACAGCTTCCGATTTGTATCCGCACTTAACAGCGAGGCTGCAGTATCCTCTCCAGGGCGCAAAGCCTGGGCCAGAGTATGGGGGATCCTGGGTGGCCCAGTCGTCAGGTTCCCCCTCTCGGCCTTACTGACGGGATCCAAAGGAATGCGAAGCATGACGTTTGGCGTCAGCTTGGCTGCAGGAGATGCCGGAACGGTGTTCGTTGAAGCACAGAACCGCCTACGGGTCTCCACTCCGGATTTGAAGGTTTACTCCTTCCTTTTCCCTCACGTGGTTTAGCCCGCCAGCTGAGACGGTTTACCGGGGTGTGGCGCTTGGAGCCAGCACGTGAGAGCTTCGGGAGATGGATGAGAACCGGTGTTGTCCGACCACCCTAGGAAGAAGGGTGCAGCTGCGGGCAAGCAAGGGTACTATCTCTATCCAGAGCCCCCTACACCCCACATGTATATACCTGATTGGATAACATGTTCCCCCACTTGAATCTTGACCAATGTCATTAAATTAGCAAATCTATTAATTAGAAAGTTTTATGGCTTCAATATGAAAATATATTGTTTTTCCACAAGTTTCCTCTTCGTAGCCTCCTCCTCGTGCCATCTCGTGAGATGGATTCATTTTTTTTGGGGGGGGGGGCAATGACATGACATTTTGCATGAAGGTAGAGTAGCCTAATACACCCAGGCTTCTTTTTTTTGTTTATTTTTTGGCCATTTGCTGATAAAATCTGTACAACACATCTTAAACTTGGTTTGAGTATGTTTTATACATTTACAACAATTCATTATAATTTTTAGCACACTCTCCCTTAAAATTTTATAATTGGGACTTTCTGAACGTTTCTTATGCCAAATAGTGAAGTATATTTACCCTTATAGCAGTGACTTATCAGTAAACAATGTTCCTAAAATGTGCATGTCGCGTTCATAGACTTCACCCGTGCCTTTGACACTATTGATCAGTCTTCTCCGTAGCCTGTCCCACACGGGGATCAGACTGGACCTCTGGCGGTGTTTTGTAATTACTTGAGTGGCCGCGTCCAGCGAGTGAAATGGGGGGGCAAGCTTTTCTGTGGCGCTACCGGTGCTCGCAGGTACACTCCAAGGGGACATTCTCTCTCCGACTCTCTTCATTATTGCCATGAATAATGGCATAATTACAAACGTGGAGCTTTGTAATGTGTTTGTTTGCATGTCTGTATATGTGTCGTAATGTTAATTTGTATTTGTATTTACTATGTACAATCTTGTAAAAAAAAAGTCAGTGTTATTCAGCTTGGTTGTGCACTGGCTGCAAGGCTGAATTTATTAATCAAACTTGAAACTTGAATGATCAGTTTAGATCAAGGAATCCCACAGAGCATCATACCAGTTACATACGCCGATATATATATATATATATATATATACTGATATAATATATATATATATATATATATATATTATATAGGTCCATATAATATATAATNTAATNTATAGGTATATATAATAATNTAATTATATAGGTAGTATATATATATATATATATATATATATATATATATATATATATATGCTTTATTGGCTTTATTGCTCGTTCCACGTCAAATCTCTTGTCATGCCTAAATACTTGACGCTGGGGACCGTCTCCAGAGTGAGGCCATGAAGCTGATAGTCATACTGGCGGACACTCCTACTGCGGGTCACCCGTAACGTCTGGCACTTCCCTGGGTGGAACAACATGTCCCAGCTCATCTTCCATTCGGCCAGCCGATTTAAAATCTTGTTGTAAGAGGACATGATTTTCTGGGGAGGAAATGGTGTTGTAAGCTGCAGGGTCATCGGCAAAAAAGTCTCGACGGTGTGGTCAAATCTGACGGCAGATCGTTAATATAGATCTGGAATAACGACGGGCCCATGCACAGATCTTCCCTCGAATACCGTAGTAGGGGAGTTTGTGTTGTAGTAGGCTGTGGTTGAGTTTATTTATGTGGCCTTCGCAAAGTCCATCACGAGAATGTTCGTTTGCCGTCCACTCGTCATATTCTTAAACAAGTCTTCCGTAAACTATAACAATTGTGTTTTGCACGACCTTCCTCGCCTAAAACCGAGCTGTTGGTTGCAGAGAATACCGTGATGTTTTAGATGATTCATCATGGCGCTGGTTAAGATGTGCTCCAGCACTTTGCAACATAAACATGTCAACGACACTGGGAGGTAATTGCCTGGATCATACTGCTCACTCTTCTTAAACACTGATGTAACATTTTCCCATCATAATTTAAGGTACCGGTGTTAACTGACGACTGGAAGATAGTGGTGAGCGGTGCTGCAATCACTGGTGCTTGCTCGTTCAGGACCTTTGGAGAGATGTTGTCTGGGCCAGGTGCCTTAGCAGGCTTGAGATTCGAAAGAAGTTCCTTGACGCCCTCAACCAACATGTTGATCTTGTTAAGGATGATGGGGTAATCAGCGGTTGGCATATTACTCTTTTCCCGAAACTTTTCTTCTTAGTAGGCTTTGCCGTTTCCAAACACTGACTTAAACTGCTTGTTCAGAATGTCAGCTTGGCCTTTGGGATCTAATATGAGGCGACCCTCATCCTTCAGGGCAGCAATGCCTACACTAGATGATTTTTGGTGCTTAATGTATGTCCAGAACTTCTTGTTCCTGTTCGTCTGTTCAGGGGTATCTTCTACAAAAGTACTGTCAAGGCAGGACGATATATTGGACACTTACTCAGGCTATATCATATTGACAGCTGAACATTATATTGCTTTAGTAGATTTGTCACACTTTCTTGCAATGTGGGGCGTAAACTTGTTTGTAATCTGTGAAATAATAAAGTTTGCATGGGGTAAATACCAATCCTTACAAATAATGTATAGGATGTTAGCTACTACATGTAGTATCCAATAGTAGCCAACTAGTGTGTTTTTAGTCATGATTTTCATTATTTATTTATTTCGCACAAAAAAAAAAGATACAATTGGTGAAGTAAATTAAATCAAAACACTGCAGGAGAGGAAGAAGCCTTAAAGGTTTATGCAAGTCTTTCTCCTTAAAAATAACAAAACAATCACAATTAAACTAATTTGCTGTAATACTTACATGAAAATCAAGGCAACTGAATAGAAAATATCAACAAATCGTAAGTAACAAATCAATAAATCGTAAGTAACCCGTATACAGTTAAAAACAAAATTGTAGCAAAATAAACTGATGAAGTTTAACACTTAATAACACTTAATGACACGAATAAGACTATCTGATAGGGAATTAAGCTAATAGAATGTTGGGTTATTTATGGGGTTTTGTTTTAAAGTGCTCTTAAAGTACAAGGATGATAGATGAATTCGTAAACTCCGGTCTAAAGTGATTCAGGTATTGGGAATTCTTGACACCACGGTGAGCATTCTTTGTTGGTTTTTGATGTACATTACTGCCAAATCGTTACAATGTCTAGTGTTATATTCATGATTATCTGAGTTTAAGCTAAAATGTTTCTATATTAATCTGGAAGACAGTAACCAGAATGAACTATTTTATGTACGAAGAGAGATATATGCAACTTATTTATATCATATACGGGCAACACAATCAACGTACAAAACAAAGGTGCAAAGGGAAACGTATAGGAGACATTAGAAACAATCCGGATATTACGCTTTTGCAACAGAAGTAGTGGTTTTAGAGTTGATGAGTAGGTACTTGCCCAGATTATGTTGCAGTATGATAGATACGAAAATATCATAGTGTATTCAATAAAGTCATAAATGTTGGGAAAGAAAGTAAATGTACAATCTTTCTGACTATGCCGATAATTTCGTAGATTTTTTGACAGATATGGTCAACTTGTTATTTTCATCTCACATGTATATCACTTCATAATATATTTATATTGATGAGAAACAATCTTCTTCTTTGTGTTTCGCATTCTACACTCATTCTTGAGTCTTAAGTCTTGAGTCCTGATTCAACTTTGGGAACGACCTGATAACGTTTGCAATATCCAAGCAGATACATGTTGGCCTGGGTATCTTTGAGCATATACACAGTGGTTTGGCCTTCAAGCAGATACATGTTGGCAATTCCGTCAATCTACATGTTCAACAGCAAAAGGCATTGGAAGATTGGCATTGCTGCATTGGGGTATAGACAGTTGGAACACTTCACATTTTAAACATTTTGACTTAAGAACAATTCATTTTTTGGGGGAGGGGTATAGGTCCATTTTTGGTATAGAGAATGTGTGAAAGCCATGATGCGTTTGCTCCTAAGCAAATATCGTCCTTTCTAGTCATTAATAATGATTACTTAAATTACATTATGTTGTTAATGTTGACATTTGTCATAAAACCATAAATTTATATTGTTGAACTGCCTGTTAGAAACCTTTTGCCATGACAACAAAAATAATAATGACTAACTAGAGTCCGGAGGACTCTTGCCTTCATTCGACAGTGTGATATTGTTTTGGTGGGTGTTGTGTGTGTGTATAGTGTAGGTTTTTTGAAGATGATTGTCATAGTTATAGTGGTCAGGGAGTCCTTTCGTGAACGAAGCAACATATATTTCCCAAGCCTGTACCATGTCTTTCTACGAAAATAGGGATCGTAGGATTCGGCAAAAAAGGAGAGAGAATTGGCCTGAGAAGGTTGTTTTCTTCCCTCCTGGCCATTGTGTACAGTATACCAACTTTGTTCCCGATTAAAATACATACAAGATGTTCACACCTTCGGCAAAGGACCTGTCAGATTAGCGATCGTTAAGCACGCCCCTGCTGGGGCAATCTTGGCCCAGGGTCACTCTTGGCTGGGGCAATGTTGTTTCAACAAACAAACAAACATTCAAAGAAAATGTTTTTTTTTTTTTTTGCACTTTTGGCTAAATGACCTGAAACTTGGTATAAAGGCAAAGTGGGCCAATACCTACCCGCTTTTTTTTTTCATTTTTAGAAGAAGGGGTTTCGTTATTGTCGGAAAATTTCTGTACATTTACGGAGTTGGAGACCTGTTATTACACCAAAATGATCTGAAATCGATATCGTGTATAACTGTGCTTTAATGTTATATATGCACCAACAACAATTCATCTATATTTTCGGCATGCACCTGAAATTTTTGAACGTTTTTGGTTTTAATGCAAATGCACTGCATTTTGGAGCAGAATGAAACAAATGGAGCAAAAGCCAATAGGCATGCAGCAGGCTATATGCATGGTGCATTCTGTGTCCTTCTTGCTATTTGTTAATACATTTCTAAAATGCATGTTACTTGATCACCTGCAGATTGTTAAACTAATATCTTATTATACCGACATTTCATTAAACGGCTTAAGAGCAAATTATCTAAATTTGAAATTTCAAATCAGATTGCTTTGGTGGGTTATTTCAAATTAAGCGGATCCTGTCAAAAGCGGGAAACTTTTTACTGACGACAGGGTAATTCTTCATATCGCCGTATGGTGATTTCGGGAACCCTTTCATTGACATGGGGGTGTAACCATATGGTTAGATTAATAATCTTTTATTTGAGGGCACTACAGGGAAATGGTTAATATGGACCAGTCAATTTTAAACGATAAGATCTATTAAGATACATCGCAAAATGCCTGCCTTGATTTTTGTCTAAACTAACAACCTCCTCCGAAATTAGGTGAACATAATAACGATGACGATAATTATGCATTGTATTACAGTTCAGTCTGTCAATTTTCCACCATCGTGTTCCTAACATTGGCTTTTATTACCGGTTTTGTAGTGACATCGAGGGTGAACAGTTGTCAAGTATTAAAAGGATTCGAGTCAATGGAAGACGTAAGTATTGTTACAGAGAACAAGTAAAAGTTCGATTACTGAATGAGATACCCCTATTTAGGGTACGTTCTGACAAAACAGACTTGACGCAACCACGGACCTTAGAGTTTTCGTTAAAATGATCTAGATTGGCATCGCGGAAAGTTGGATATGTTACATAAGTTAGATAAGTTGAATAATTTCCTGGAGACCTTTTAAAATTTAAGCCATGTCTATATCTTTAAAGTTTACATGCCTGGATTTTTCTCCAACAAATATAGCAGACTGGGCAAAATTGCTGTCCATCATTAGCGGCTTAATTCCTTTAAATGACTGAAAACGGATAATTGCTAAATTT